AAATGCATGCCTACCTAATTCTTAAAATTTCAGGCACTGGCAACAGCCACGTGTCATTAAACCCAGACGGTTTTATGGTGGTAGAGTACTTAGCGTGGATTTGACCAAACAAGAATAAATATTAAATAAATCGTCACAGTCGAAACTGTCAGTGTGCCAGTTATAGTACCTTAGTAGGCCTACCTAGAATTTGATGGCAGTTTGAATGACTGACACCCAAGAGTGTTTGTTATTCGATGGTGACCCCAAAATAATATCGTTGCATTTTTATTCCCAAGTCCCTTTTCATAGTTCCTTCAAAGGAAATATGGTAGGTAGCTACAATTCCTTCTAATTTACCGTTGGAATTAAGTAAGTAGGTAATTGGATTGGGCTCTCCTAAGTAAATGCAATATTTTATACTAGTTTATAAGAGTTAACTATAGCCTGTCCTGCAGGTTTGGTATACCATTAATGATCTACGGGCTGATGGAGGCCACCAAGTGGTTTTCGAGCATGCCCAGTCCACCGAAGCCCGGAGACCCCGCTCCGACAGAACACAGCCGGCATATGAGGCCACCACTGCCCATACAAGGATAGTTCTTCTTAGTAAACTGCAGAAGTGTACATAGGTATGATGTGGTTTTACTGTTTTAATTAATGGCCATGGCATTGTGAAATCTTAATGATAAAGTTGAAAGCATTACTTGTATTTTGTTGTGATATCGCTTCACCTAAGGACCAGATCAACCAACAGGGAGACAACCCAGGGCCGAGCCGCCTGTGAGGTGCATGATACGGAAGGCCGACCCCAAATAAAGTGGGAATAGGCCAGGCAAAGAAGAAAGAAGATCGCTTCACCTAAGGCCTTCCTCCTCTTGTCGTCACCAACACAGCTAACCTTACTCACTGATCAATTCAATAACTTCAATAACGATAGTTGATCGACAAAGGTATTTGTTTATTCTGAGAAAATCAAGCTCTATTTACAGAAATTGAAAATAATAACAAGCATTGACGATAGAAATAAAACTGCTATCGCAAATCGCTAAAAGGCAGTAGGTAATCAGATTGAGACGCAGGCGCTTGGCTTGTGCACTCGTGTAAAAAATAAATAAATGGGTAACGCGTAAGTTGAATTTTTTTAAACTATTATTATAACTGTGGAAAAGTAGCTGATGTAGAATGAATCCAGCCTTTTTAGTTTGATCAATCAAGTAATAGAATAACACCTCTATATTTACAGTTGAGATTTATATTTGGAAAAAGTCCTTCCCTAGCCTATGCAATATTTTTTACATCTACAGGGTGTTAGGTAAATGGGTATATGAGCCGACACTAGCCCATGTTAACATGGGCATATAAATGGTATGGTGAAGTCAGAAATTTGATATCATTTAATTTTTTTTAATTTTCATACAAAATAAATTTTATAAAATCAGATTTGTATGAAAATTCAAATAATTAAAATGAAGATATCAATTTTCTGACTTCGCCATTCCATTTATATGGCCATGTTGTGTCGGCTCATATACCCATCTACCTAACACCCTGTATAGTTAATATTATACAGTTATAGGTCTAGCGCTTTACTCAGTCAGTACCTGAGGTATGGGGGCGGCACGGGTGTTTTTGAGACAAGCATCACTGAGACTTGTCAACAGTCGCGGCGACTATAGTCTGGTCTGTGAGCACGTAGAATTTTGTCCAATGACCCCAAGCTACCCATCCTTATCGCTCGCGCGTAATAGGCTAGTTTCCTAAAAAAAATTTTTAGTCCGTCTATTTTAAGAGCGTTTACGTCTAGCGTGGCATGTCAAGTTTAGGTAATTTCGATGCTATTTTTATTCACACTAAAAAAATTGTGACTGTGTGCGTGTTTTCACGCTCTATAGTCAAACCAAAATACTTTGATCCACCATCGTAAAAGTGTGCCAGGCTGTCAAGTGACAGCTCAAGGAAACTATAAAATCTTCAAATCTTCCAACACTGACTCCATAATTATAAATCATGGTATACATTAGTCCTAATAAATAATAAATACGTAAATTCTTTATCAAATAGTAAATTATCAAAGGTTTTTTACTATTTTGAGAATATTTTATACAGCCTATGTTCAGCAGAAAAAGAATTGAATTTTAATGGTGAGAGATTTTTTCAAATCGGTTCTATTCAAAACAAACTTTTCCTGTTAACTATTCTTTTTTTATCCGGAAAATGCATAACATTTCATACCCACCAGCTGCGGGGGCAGCTAGTGGGTTATGTGGGGTTCTTCCTACCAGAAGGTGGATAGCCCCTACACCCACTAAAAACCTGACTGTTTCTGTCATGATCCAATATGAGGGAACGCGGGACATCGCCATTGGCTGTTGCCTGTAGCATTCGTCCTTAGCCGCCACCAGACACCTCCATGTCTAGCGACCGAGGCGTTCTCTAGCAAAAGCTGAAAATGAGTGTTCTGCCCTTTTGAGGGTAGTGTTTATACTGAGCTCTTTGCTTTTTGCATCGCTGCGGCACACATCATCTTCTGTTGTTTTGTCACTTTTGTTATGTTGCAACTGTTGAAATTATTACTAACCTGTGTAACAAAATACCAGTGGTGTCACCTAGTGTGTTTCTTGACTAACTAACTTTATTTCAATATTGAATTGAATTTCAATAGCAACTATACATAATGTGTGTGTTAAAAGCATTAAAAAAAGTGTGTGTTATAACAAATAAACAATTTATCTATCTATCTCACGCCTCTTCCCGATTGGTAGGGAGAGGTCATTTCCAACCGCCGCTCGTTCGCTTAGGCTGGGCACTGTTGGAGCGTGTCAGTCTGCTGCGGTGACTCACGGGGCAAGACTGCAGTGTTAACTGACAACCATCTACAGGCTCTCGGCCTATACGATGGAGGAATGGCCCGAAGCACCCATGGCCCGGTAGAACCTGGGTCGCCCTATGTGTGAGGCGATCATGTCGTCGCACCCACTCCTCTAATACAGGCAGAACTGCCTCTATGGTGCGACGTAAAATTTGGCTGACGGCCAGGCGTACCCTTCAGCACTCTAGGGCCTAGATCCTCAAGCCTCTACCTTTTGGTTTTCACCTCTCGTGGTGCACGTACACGTACATTTCTCCTTGGGACCTATGGTCACCTCGCAACTGGCATCTATTTTCGGTTGTCGAAACTAGCTTTGTCGCCACTGAGGATAAATGGCATAAATAATATCGATTGTCACNTAAAAATTTCAGCTTGTAAACTGACGCTAAAGTGGAAATTTACAAAACCTGTGTGGACTTATCTTGATAGAATTCTTAAATACTAAACTAATCGCAATATTTTCTCAATTAACTATTTAGACGACGAAATTGCCTAACTAATTATGCCTATAACATATTTGTAGTATTACTGGTTAATGATTGTAACGAGTTGAAAAAGTACAGTTTTTGCGCCAAACGGCGTAAACGCTCTTAATATAAAAAAAATATTGGACACGTATATTTTTAATTATCAATCAAACAAATAATTACAAAGTTATAGTGCGTTGAAGTTCCGCTCGACGTCAAAAAGTGCAGCACTTTTACGCACTCACTGACGTCACGGGCCTTTTCTTTAGAACTTTGGCACGCTTTATCTCTTTACATTTATCATCATTAATTCATTATCATTAGTTTTGAAAAGTGAAAAATAGGTGTCGAGTATTTTTTGATAGGCTAACTGACGGACTAATTAAAACTCTTGCTTTTTTACCCAGGAAACATCCCTATTCTGTCGCGCTCGCACACTCACTGCGGGCGCCCGTCGCATAGTCGCGACAGCAATACAATCACGCGTGAGTGATAAGGATGGGTAGCTTGGGGTCATTGGACAAAATTCTACGTGCTCATAGACCGGGCTTTAGACGCCTATTCTTTGTCGCCCAGTGTTCGCCTACACGCCTCCCGTGCTGCTCCCATACCTCAGGCACTCGAGTTAAGCTCGAGACTTATAACTACAGATTGTTCTGCAGGATCGGCGTAGGAGTAATAATCTACGGGCTGGTGGAAGCCGTCAAGTGGTATCACAGCGTGGGCCCGCCGAACCTGGACCCTCCGCCGCCAGAACACGATAGGCATATGCCGCCACCAACACCCATGCAAGGATAGTTCTTAATAAATTCAAGAGATTTTTATAAATAGAGAGCACACCGTTGATTTTTCGTCGGCCGATAGTTTAGTCGGGCAGTTGATCAGTATGGGAATGTATGGGAGTGCGCACACTATGCCGTTTCGATTTGGCCGATTCTTCATACAAATTAAAATCGGGCACAACTATCGGCCAACTAAAAATCAACGGTGTGCGCCTACTCTAACAACTCGAAAAAATCGAACTGCTTATAGCAGGAATCGAACCCACGACATTTCGCTTGCCGGGCGACTGCTCTTCCAACTGAGCTACTCAGACACTGGATGAACCCTTCAAAATTTAGGCAGTTCGATTTTTTCTAGTTTATTTAAAATTTAGGAGAAGCGACTTTAATCACTAAGAAATTTTAATAACAAGTTATTTTTGATTGTTTTTACTTGTAACTACCACGGAATTGTGAAATATTGATACCTAATAATAACTGTGAGCATGTGTATTGTGTACGTATTTCGTTTTAACCTTTACTTAAAGCCCAAGTGAACAGACAATTGCAACCCCCTGTTCCACTAGTCCATTATGTGTATATTTTTTCCACCTATCTATAGGTTGAATGGAAATGTTTTCTACTGAGAACTATCAACTCTATCGATCAGAAGTGTCTTGACTTGAAGTAATAAGATTCTAAATAGTTTTCGTCTGTTTTTAGTGTATGAGACAAAAACAGGCGATTGAATTTTGTATGTAACTAAAATTGGCCGCATGCTTATCGCAGGTTAGCTCTAATTTAAGATCTAGCTATTAATTACTTTTAAACATTGTAGGTACTACAACGCAGCCAATTTTTATCTTACTTAGCTAGGGGGTGGGGAATAAAAAACATAAGTATTAAAAAAACAACATGCAATTCGGTTATGTTGCTTTTTACTATCAATTTTGGATGTATGTGTACAAGTATGAATTCAAGGAAAATAAAGGAATATGTAATGTTTTATAATATATATTCTACATCGCAGTACTCGTTATGAACAAACATTACTTATGTTATTTTCGATATAGTACTTCTACTCAATCATATTTTTGTTCGACCGCTCATCACCTGCGTAAGTTATAATCATCAAATAATGAGAGCATGTGTTCATACATGTAACAAAACAAAAATATTCTCTATGAAAATCAAATTGATTTAAATAAAAATGTACTAGCTAAAAGAAACACCATTCGTTCTCTGCGAGAAATCAGCATCACTGCGTAACATCTAACTGTACAGACACGAAAACATAAAAACGTTCCAAGGAAACATCTTCGGTATCCACAAGATATTTATTACAAGGTCTCCTTACAGATGCATAGAAACGAACAATATTCTCACTGCGTATCGTAAAATCGGTGAAAAAGTCGCGATAAAAACCTAAAATCCACATACTGAAAGTCTAAAAATATATTATAATAGATTTCAAATGTCTATACATAGATGAGTGTTCACTACGCGCTTATAACGAGCGTCGAGCGCGCGTCCATTACGTTATAATATTAAATACGATAAAACGAACCGGCGGCCTCCCGCGGCCCGCCCGCTACCGGCCGGGCCCGCCTACGATGACGCGACTCGCTACTGCGTTACACTACTATTTCTCAAAGTTTACGCTTCCGAGCGATTCGAGCTCTCCGAAAAAAGCGAACACTATTTCACTGACTTCGATTCGGATTCACTCCCGTTCTGAGCTCGGCGATCACACGACCGCCGCGATCGGTCGACGAGACACGTATCGACCGTCGCGGCGGCGAGCAAAGCTGTAACAAGTTGTCATCATCGAGCGAAGTATAGATCTGGGACTAGATAGGTCAGGTTAACTTTAGAGTGATTAAGTTATATCGTTACAACTTCTCGAGTGTAAAAGTTTTCAAAAATGAATAATCTAAAAATCAACTACAGCGGCGTTTCGCCATCGAGACCGACGAATTCCTCGGGCCTAACGTATATCGACTATTAGGAATCGCCATCGAAAATCCATCGGTCCCCGCGAGACGCACATCGATTCCTGCGACGGATGACAAGTCGAGTCCCTTTCTAGCGTATGACAACAGCCCGGTTCCGTCCCAGGAGCCGAGGCGCGTCTCGCGGGCGCACCGCCGCGCCGCACCGGAACGTCCGTCGTCCCGCACCCGAACGGCTCCAAGCGTAACTCCAAAACGGCACTGTACACGGTCGTATCGAAAGTAAAATTACATGTATCATATATATTCGACATACATAGGGTCGGGCTCAGACGAAGACTTTGGCGAGCCCGTCGGCGCCGGCGCTGGCGATGTAGGGCCGGAGCGGGTGGAAGGCGACGTCGAGGATGCTCTCGTCGAACTTCTTGCGGTGCGCGGTGATCTCCTGCACGCAGGTCTTGGTGTCGAGGTTCCAGAGGCGCACGGAGCAGTCGTGCGAGCCCGACAGCAGGAACAGCCCGTTGGGGTCGAGCGCCAGCCCCGTGACGGCGTCCAGATGCGCCACCATGGCGTGCGCGCAGCGCCCCGACACCGCGTCCCAGAAGCGGATGTGCCGGTCCTCGTGCGCCGTCACCAGCAGCGGCAGCGTCGGGTGCGCGCGCACGCGCGTCGCGCCGCTGTCGCACGACACGCGCAGCACCGCCTGACCAGATCATCACGTCAGTACGTGTTTAAACCAAGCACACGTTACGGATATTTAAAATACATGCCGATTAAGAAATTTGACAGATCGTAAACATAGGCGATCGTATTTGCCTCCTATACAGGATGTCCCGTAATGCAACGTCAAGCCGGAACTGGGTGTTGAGGCAAGTTATGCTGGTTATCAGAAAAATATTTAAAAAAATCTATGTGGCATTTTGTCAAAATAATAGGCATTTAAAAAAAAAACAAAAAATTCTACTCCCGGTGACGGTCTTTTTACTCGTGTTGATTGGTAGATGTGGAAATCCTTGGAGGGGGTGTTCGTCTAAGGTGGAAGTCTTCTTGTTTTTCACCGTCTCGTTCCTCGGATGGCTTATAATCCTGTTCAGAATGTGCAGGATAATCCTACATTTGGCACTGCAGCTGCTAATATTTATTATGGTCTTCCATCCAGTGGGGAGTGAGGGTCCGGCAGCTGAGCTCGCACTCACCTGGGCGGTCTCCAGGTCGTACAGCAGCAGCGAGCCGTCGCGGTAGACGACGGCGGCGCGCGAGGCGGCGTCCGCGAAGTCAGCGGCGGCCGGCGCGAGCGCGGCGGGCAGCTGGTCGTCGCGCAGCGTGGCCAGCAGCGGGCGCGGCGCGCGCGGCGCCCACACGCGCGCCGTGCCGTCCGCCGACGCTGACAGAAGCCGCCCGTGCGACGCCGCCAGCGACCACACTGCGTCTGTGTGATCGCGCAGCACGGGGCCCTGGAAATAACGTTAAAGTCAAAGTCAAAATTTCTTTATTTGTTTAGACTAATAAATAGTTCTTACAAATCGTCATATGCTCTTAAGGAGCCTCTACATGTCTCATAATCTTTTTACCCTACCAGCGCTTCGAGACCAACATTTGGCAAGTGCTGAGAAGAAGCGCCGCAACAAACTCAGTCACCACTGTCCGCCGGTTAATATAAATAAATAGAAATAGTAGTAGTAGGTACATTCGATTCAGGAGCAGTNAAAATCTCGAGTTTAGGCTTTTTTAAGCATGTGATCTTTAACTATACCTATGCGTCGTCAATGAACACCGTCCATAACGCATTTGTGATCACCGTCCATAACGCCCCCTGTTGCGCGCCTTCTTGACTGGTAGCCTCAATATGGTCCCGGTCTAGAGGGCGCGCAATCCGCAATCTTCATCGTGTTGGTTCCCGCTGAAAACCAGCTTCTCCACATGGGGCTTGTTATGTCGCGAATATAGCTGAGCGGACGCCTCTTCAGCATAGCTTGTAGTTAAATGTTTAAATATGTACTGTATTTTTATTTTATTTTTCTATGCTGAATAAAGTATTCTTATTGTTATAACACTCACGAAAGCATAATAGAAACAGAGCGATTTGTAATAGGAATCATCCGGGTGACGACTTGACCAAAAGAAATGCCATAATAAAAATAAGAGATATTTCAGGTAATGTACTTGATGAGTATGATAACCTTACACACCACTTCACCAAAGTTAGAAAAACTGGACTTCAGATGGTAGATCAGACACAGTCACATGATACTTAGAAAAGTACGAAAAGCAACCTCCTATCACTATTCAACCCATCTCTGTTCATTGTTGGAATTGCATGCCAAATCCTCCATTGGCCTGTGGTAAATTAGAGGGTTGTTCACCTGCAGCAGAAACTAAAAAACCTGACAATGATAAAGAACATAATAAATAACGTGACGTTGTCGGCCGATTGGTGTAGTGGTTCAAAACGGACTACTATGCTGAGAAGGTCCCGGGTTCGATTCCCGGCTGGGCAGAAATTGAAATGTTGAATTTTAATTTCTGTGACGGGTCTGGGTGTTTTCTATGTATAATATGTATGTATTTACAAAAAAAAGTATTTAAGTATGTTTATATCCGTTGTCTAGTACCCATAGCACAAGCTTTGCTTAGTTTGGGGCTAGCGGCGCAGTGTAAGGATATTTATTATTATAACGAATATTACCTGCACAGCCGGGTCGTACGGGTCATACGGGTCAGCGGTGGGCGCGGGCAGATTCCAGACGCGGATGGTTCCATCCAGGCCTCCTGAGAAGCACTCCTCAGACCGCGGCGCGCCCATAGCGAGGCACAGCACAGGCGCGGTGTGCGCACGGAAGGTGTACAGCGGCTCGACGTCCAGCCCGGCCGACTTCTTGGCGGGCACCGTGCGCTGCAGGTTCCACAGCTTGAGCGTGTGGTCTTCGGACGCTGTCACCAGCGCGGCCTCCGTCGGGTGGAACGCCAGCGCTCGGACCTGCGTGAAACGATCGTGACTCACGTTCAATGGAATCATCAAGTACAGAGGAACTGTAAGAGCCAACTCAGATCTAATAGGCTAGTTTCCTAAAAAATTGTTTTTAGTCCGTCATGTTTAATATCAAAAAATATTGGACACATATATTTTTATTTGTCAATCTAACAAATAATTACATAGTTATGGTGCGTTGAAGTTCCGCACGACGTCACAACGTGCGGCACTTTTATGCACGCATTGACGTCACGGGCCTCTCTTATGAACTTTGGCGCGCTTTATCTCTTTAAATTTTCATTAGTTTGAAAAAGTGAAAAATACGTGTAGAGTATTTTTTGATAAGTTAACTGACGGACTAATTAAAACTCTTGCTTTTTGACCCAGGAAACATCCCTATTGCCGTAACATAAATGTTCTTTCTTCAGGCTTTGTGATGCTGCTTCTCTTCTTCTTCTCTTTGTACTATTTACAATTACAAGATGGCAGAAATGCAGAGCCACGACAGCTGCTCTCACAACTAAAATTACGACGCCAAGAGTTCGACTAAATATGCTTGCACCTTCAGTATCAGTTGAAATATTAACTATTGAAGTCGCATCAACTAAACACCTTGTATGCAAGTCTAGTTTACTATATACTAAAGCCCTGTCTGTGAGCACGTAGAATTTTGTCCAATGACCCCAAGCTACCCTTATCGCTCGCGCGCAGTGAGTGTGCAGACAGCAACATAATTACGCGCGAGCGATAAGGATGGGTAGCTTGGGGTCATTGGACAAAATTCTACGTGCTCGCAGACCAGACTATAGTCTATGAGCAATACATTTCTAATTCAATAAACTCTCCTTATAAATAATATGTACCTCAGAATCACACAAGTATGAAAAAAAATTAAATACAGCATCAAAAGCACATACCCCATCAAAGTGCGAGCGCAGCGTGTATTTAGCGTTCCAAGTCTTGCGGAAGGACTCCTTGTTGGCGCTGGCCACGTCATACGCCTCAGGCTCATTGCTGACCGTCAGCTGTGCCAGCTCGCCCAGGGCTAAAGGCTCCTCGTCAGCTTCGCCGCCGGCGCCGCCCGCCGCCGTCGCCGGGACCCCCGATGCACTGCCTGGGAATTTCACTGGAAAATTGCAGTGCTTATTTTCGTTGAGGAACCTACTGTTAGTAGGTTTTAGGTCGTTTATAACTCAATAAGGCAACTTTACGTCGGGTTCGTAGTATGCGTTAGTAACTCTATAGTCTACTGGAGAGTAGGCTGCTCTTGTCGCGGTCGGGTTCGTAGTAAGAGTTAGTAATTCAATACAGTCTACTGGAGAGTAAGCTGCTCTTAAACTTTGCGTAAAAATCTAACAAATAAATAGTACTTTCTGTAATTAAATACCTGACCAACTACCACATTCAAACTTCGATATTATAGTCGTAACTCAAACCTTCCTCATTCATCAGTTTATCTATTAGCGAAAATCGTATCAAAATCCTTACAAGTGTTGCGGAGATTAGCCACTATAGTCTTTTTCACGTAAGATGATCCGTATGACACTTCAAGGTTATCCATATTACGCATACTACATATGCAGAATATTTTTGAAAAAATATTTGTATTTTATTAGCAATATAATAAAAAAAAATAACTACTTGTCTTGAAATATATAGTAAAATCTGAGTCTATTGATTAATTATATTTTAATTAAATACGATGTAAAAATATTTTTTATTTATGAAACGGAATGTGTGAAACGGAATAGATTTAGTGCTGGGGTATTTCTTGTATATAAAATCGATAATTCCGCGGTTCATTAATCGATTGCAGTGAATACTTAGTTATTAAAAACATCACAAAAATCAACTATATTTTTCGATTATTGAATTTAATAAACGCATTGAAAATAAAGTATTAGTTTTTAATTTAAAGAAACAGAACCAGTACTTTTTAGGAATCGTTTTTTTGAACACGAACCATGAAATTTGAATATTATCAATAAAAAAAATTCTCAAAATATTTCTCTAAAAGTAGGTTTTACTAACTCTTCGAAAAAAATCGATAGATAAATCGCTATGGTTTAGTTATGTGACATCTCTAAATCTTTCAAACTCGAAACGTCATATGGATCATCTTAGGTGAAAAAGACTATAGGCGAACATGCCGAATGACAGCGACATCGTCACATAGCGACGATATTTTCGCTTTAACCAAAACACGTTATCTGCTGGACAAAGGTTTCTCCCAAGGATTTCCATAACTTTGTTGTGTGTGCTGTTCTCGTCCAGGTATTTTCCGCAACCTTTACCGAATCATCAGACATATCGTTATATTTGCTAGATCTACCGCACGGGAAGCCTGTCTCCGCCTGTCCATTACGTTTCCACTCCGTGGTCGCCACTCGAGAACTTTATGTTCGTTCGTTTCAGCCGAATGACGTCCACTGCTGGACAAAGGCCTCCTCCAAAGTTTTCCACAATGAACAATCCTGCGCTGCCCGCATCCAGGCTCTTCCCGCGATCTTCACCAGATTGTCGGCCCACCTAGTAGGAGGCCTGCCCACGCTACGTCTTCCAGCCCGTGGTCGCCACTCGAGAACTTTTCTGCCCCAACGGCCATCGTCTCTACGAGCTATGTGCCCCGCCCACTGTCACTTGATTTTAGCAATTCTGCGAGCTATGTCGGTCACTTTGGTTCTCCTGCGGATCTCCTCATTTCTGATTCGATCACGCAGGGAAACTCCGAGCATAGCCCGCTCCATCGCCCTTTGCGTGACCTTGAGCCTTCTTATGAGGCCCATAGTAAGCGACTACGTTTCAGATTCTCAGAACTTTAGGTAGTTAGTTATAAATAAATAAGTGAACTTACCGACGGGGTACTCGTCGCCCTGGCCGCCGCCGTCGGCCTCGCTCTCCGTCAGCATGTTCAGCTCGTTTAACACCTCCTCAGCCTCGTGGTCGACCTCTTCACCTACAAAATAATTGACATTAAGAGAATTGATCTTTTGGGAGAATATTATTTTCATCTAGTTTTGGTTCTTTTTTTATCTGTGATTATATGTATTACTCGTCGAGCCCTTGGAAGCTGTCATTTGGGAATCTCCATAATGATTCCTCCTATTTTTTTGTGTTGGAGGTCAACTCCAACGGCGGTTCTAGTTTGATGGAGTCCTTGTATCACTACGAATTGATTCGATCTATTGGGATCGCCGTTATATTAGTCTCCAAGTTCTGTATCTACATATAAGGCAGTGCAGCATTTTTCGGGAATATTGCTCGCCGTCGGTCAGTGTCGGGCCGTCAAATTTTTCTATAGAATTTAACAGCAGCGGCGCGGCGCGGGCGCGGAGCATAGCAGAGAGGAGAAATGGAAATAATAAAATCTGATTCAAAACATTTCTCCGCTCTGCTCCGCCTTGATGGCGGGCCTAAGTTCCTCGTAAATGTCTCTATTATGACGATTATAACATGATATAACTTAAATGAGAATTTCAGCCCGTACCTTGTTTTCCGGAAGCATGGTGGGGCTGTTTCGCGTCCAGGTCGTCGATCTCGTCCATGTCCATCTCCTGGTTGGCCAGGAACTCGAAGTTGGCGAACACGGCGGCGGTCTCCTGCACCGACAGCCCTTCCTCGTTGTACACGCCGCCCGACGGCACGCCGCCTTTCCGCTGCTCTTTGCCTGTAATGAGAACCAGTCAAGAGTATTGTCTTAGAAAATAATCTATATCCTGTATATAAAAGAAAGTCGTGTTAGTTACTCCACTTATAACTCAAGAACGGCTGAACCGATTTAGCTGAAAATTGTCAAGGAGGTAGTTTAGAGCCAGGAGACATAGGATACTTTTTATCCCGTTCGAAATAAAAAAAAAATCTACTTATTTATTGCCATTAAGGCGGAACAAAGTTCGCTGGGTCAGCTAGTAATAAATAAATAAACTTTATTTCTCTTTCACAGAGGTATAAAAACTTATATCTAGTTACAGTAAGTTATCATCATACAGCAATAATACCTTTGACTGGTCTCTGTACTAGGGTGCCAAAGGCCAAAGGCCGGATAGTGAGTTACTATCCGGTATCCGGCAGAATAGTAAATTTAGTTAGGCCGGATATCCGGCCTACCGGATAGTTACCGGATATCCGTTTCATCTCTAGTTCTAAGTGTGGATTCGACCAAACAAGAGTAAATATAAATCGTCAGTTATTGGACATTTTGACATATTTCCTATACTGAAACTGTCAATGATACCAGGAGTTATTCTCGGATAAAAGTTAGGTCGAATCGGGCCTAAGGCGGAAAGAAATGTCAGGGGTGGGCAATGGGCATAATACTTTTGTATTTTCGAAAAAAAATGTTTAAGATAAAGATTTAGCTGTTCCAAATTGCGGCCCATTCGTCGCAAAATATTTTATGGCGATATGCTTCGCAAAATAAAGGTTGGGAAACCCTGGCCCACGTAGATTATCATAGCAAAATATGTAACCGTACACCCATATTGGAGTTGACACATTGGCAATCCTTAATGAAATTCAATAATAAAACAATGGACTTCAACCGCAAAGCACTCCTAAAATGTTAATGAAATAGACGATTTTTAAAACATGTCTTAACAAAAATGTTGAAATTGTCGTACTATTGTTAGTGTTTTCATTAACTTCGCACTTACCCACTGCTTTTTCCGCTATGCAAAAATGCGTGTTGAATAATGCATTAATGATATTGTGAAAATGAACTTAATTATTTGATACAAATTCACTCACCATAATCATACTTTCGAACCATAGAGTTTATTGAGTAGTCACATCTGTCCCGCTGCTGCTTGTCATAGTTTCTGTAGTTTGGGTCCTCAGCCTGCTCCTCGTTGTTCAGACCAAGTAAGTTTCTTACTCGGTTTGAACGAACGTCGAGGATGGTGTCTGTATATCCTATCTCCTGTAGACAAAAAAAACGTTACGCGTGTTACCAGTTATTTCCAGTTTCAACTCTTGCAAACAACAATTAAGGCTTGAACAATAAAAAGAATTTGAGCTGTTATGAAATATTGACTTTCTAATTGTGAAGTATCAAGTGAATTAATTCATAAACAGGTTGTTTATCAATGTGTGCCATATTTAAAGACGCGAATGAACTCATCTGTACAAACAACTTTTATGGGGTAAATTATCGTGGAGATATTATGTTAATTGGTATGGTAAAGGGTGTTGTTTTTTGTTTATTGCTTCGATACTACTCCCATAGTAAAAGACGGAGTATTAATTAGTGCATTCACCTTCGTAATAATGCACTCATTGAAATCGAAACCTTTACATTTTTCTTCAGTGTAGAACTAGTAAAGTAAGTTCTTGACAGTGAGTTCCTATATTTTCCAGTGAATGAATTCCATGTTAATGTTCTAAACTTAAAAGTAACTTCATTTTATTTCTGTTACTGTTGTAAGCAGTTTTGAGTAACTTGGTACAGACGACCGACGACAGGTTAACGTAACCACTGTGGGTTCTTGTGCAGTTGTAATACTTAATAGGGGAGAGTTTGCAACAAAAATGGGTAGCCTGAAGTGCTATTGTGTGTACATATTAAAAATGTTCGTTTAATCATTTTAGCTCATGTTAGAGATAGTTAAGTTCATATTTTACGCTCGTCGTCAGAATCTCAGAAGGCCCCGCGAATCTTACAAATGAGCCTGTATCTAGATAATGATATTCGCATTTACCTGTAGATATTGTTTGATGAGCTGACGGCCCTGCTTCCACTGCGCCCGCTCGGCGGGCTCGGGCTCCGCCGGCGGCTCGTCGGGCGGCGGGCGCACGTCCCCTTGCTGGAGCTCCACGCCGTACTTAAGCTTGTGGAACTTCGCCCTCTCCTGCTTCAGCGCGTACTCGAGCATTTTGATCCGCCTCACGAGATCATTCTTTAGATTCTCCTGGCCCTTCCTCTCGCCTTGGAGGAAGGCGATCCGCGACTGCGTACAGATATTAGTTTGATTAGTTTGGTCATCAGGTATAAATACATTAAGTAGTATAAGATTTATTTAAACTTTCACATTATAATTAAAACTGCTGCTATGACTGAAGCAACACCTATCCAAAATTTGTTTTATTATTACTATAATTCCTTTTTATACCATTATTTTAGCTTTCACTTTCACGTTGTAATTTTAATGGGCTTTAGTCTAATAATTATTTTTGTTGACAAATACCTATTAACTAGCATGAGAACTAAGAGAATACAATACCACTATTCTAATAAGCAACAAAGTAAGGGTATTAATTATTCAAATAGATCTATCATCATTCATCCAGATTTTTTATTTTATATTTATTTTATTTGATGAATTAATTACAACTCGAAATCTCGCATTTTGGGATTTCATAATCCTTTACAAAATTATATTTATTAATTTACTAAAAATTTACAACTACTAACCATCAGTGAGAAATACTCAAAAACAAAATAGAACATAATTCTGGATTGATAAACTTTTGTATTTTTATAATGACACACAAGATGTAAGTAAAAAGAGAACAATTGGCATAATTGAGTGCTTGATAGCTGAAAGATTAACAGAAGATAAACTAGAAAAATAAGAACATAATATAAAAAAGCAGTCTAAATGAGAAGACAAAAGATAACTATTTTAATAATACTTAATTGTCTATCTTATACTCTTTCTATCACATATAACCATAGCTCTAATTATATCATTACATTGCAATTGAAATATTCCACTAGCTCCAATTGCAAGTGCAAAAAAATAACTCTTTCTTATGTATTACTGGTTGAAAAATTAATTTTCAGGGTTATTTTCATAATCAATCTTTCAATGCTAAGAATATATTTAAAACTCAAAACTCATTCATATGATAAATCTCTTAAATTATATGATACACAGGGCATATCCCAACAATTTCATGTTTAGTGACTTGTAATAAATAAATTTCCCAATTACATAAAAACTAGCAACTTTTTGTCACTGAAACAAGACAACACAGATTTATCTTAGGTTTGGAAGTTTTAGAAATGAATTTAATCCCACTAAACAATAATCCTTTGTCCTCAAAGGAAGTTTAAACAAGCAAGTATGTTTCATTCATCTTTAAATAGCATTTTATGTAGTATCTGCATAAAGCATTAAATCTGTTTTCAAGAACCATATACACTGTATAAATAATAAAACACAAAGAAATGACCCCAAATGTTTGGATTGGGTAGGTATACCAAGGAAGATATTATGTTGTGCTACTTAAATACCTGCTTGTTCATGAAGTGTATTAAATAATTTCATAATTATTTCAATACATTCATAAAGAATAATGTATGGTTCAACAAATACATGATTATAATACATATAATATGAATTAGATACACAATAAATTGGTATTTATTTATCTAATAAACTAGTCAGAAACTTTGATGATTTATGATAAAATACATTATAAGTACTATACACAACAAACCATATTTTACTGTAAAACTATTAAAAATGATGTATTTAGTGTAGTTAATTGTAAATTTGTTGAACCAATTGGTGTATTGTAGTAATTTCTGCAATACAATGAATTTAGGATTACTACCAAAAAAAAGGATGAATATAGGGCATACACAGTTCTAATAACATTCAAATCTCACTAAAAAGTAAAATTTTCAATCTAAAGACATAATATTCAAGCACAAGACATGAAAAATGAAAGTATAACATCAAAAATTAATAAAGACACTAATGCTAATCACAGTCAACAAGATATTTGATGCAGCACGTATACAAAGGATGTCTAAAATTATAGAAAATAACGCAAAAAGATCACCTCAAACTCTGCTCTGTCCACCTCCCATTGTGATCTCTCGAGTTCAAATCTCGCCCATTCGTGTTGGATAAAATGTAAGATGCCCGGTATTGAATACTGGACACTTTGGCTAGGTTCGTCATTTTGTTTATTATTTACACTGACTCCAATTTGAGATCCCACTTGCCCTCCGTTGTGATGAGATACGGAGCTATCATCCATGGCTGTTGGGATTTTCATGACATGGCCACCATTACCGAACTTGTCACACACCTATCTTAAAGATCTACGAGAATGAACTACGCGAAATAAAATACTAAACACATTATTTAAACTATATTTCAACTAACGTTCACGTAAGGTTCACCATATAAAATATTTTTTAACGACGAATTCATGAATGACAAAAATTATTGCATGACGGAATAGAAAAGTCGAAACGACGTCCGTCCGCTACATTGCTTTGCTTGTCTTTTTTTTTCTCGGTGTTGCCATAGAAAATAAAGATTTTAAGCGGCCGATACACTCTTAGCACATATCGAGTTAGAATACATGCAAAACAAAAATCGATTAAATGCAGATTTGATAACCCGAATGGACGCTAGGCATAAGAAAATTCCGCTTGACTGAACGGTAATTAGAAGTTAAAATCAACATTTTCTTTTCTTTAATTAATCTTAACCACAAAGATATTTTAGTATTTATGTAGTTATAGTATAGCAAATACAAAACCTGATATGCAATGTATGCTAGCGAAGGGTTGTAAAGCCCGTTTTCACAAAGGCAAAGGAGACGAAATGACTTCAAATTCGTTATTTCTATATCTCTCAGGCTTCGGCAGAAATAAATAGAGCGGAGCAACGCCGTTCCCCGGGTCTACACTTTGAACACTTATGGAAAATATCTTAACTATGGGTGATCAAAGGACACCAGTGTCTCCTCGAGTTAGACCACCTGGGTGATCAAAGGGGAAGACCGTTCCCCACGCCTCCTCATGTGCGTATTTAGCTTCACGGCATCGGGTTAATTTTCATGAGCATTACCCGTCATCAGCACTTGTTAAAGAAATACCAAGTACCTACCTACTGGAATATAAAAATGAAACTAACGTTTTTAAATGACACTTTATTGATCACTAAATCAACAAATTCTTCTATTGTATTTAAATGTTATCGCCTAACTTTATGTAGACAGGAATGATATTTCTTAAAATGAATATCAATGTACTTAAAATATTCTTGTTCAAGGCTGTAATACATATCTTGCAGTCATTAAAGTTAACATGTATAGTAACTTGAAATGGGCTAGTTCAGCCTAGTTGGACTTTTTAGAATCTTTGGATGGTGAACGTGATCTTGAGCGCGACATGGATCTCCCCTTGGAGCGGGAGCGGGAACGGGAGCGGCTGCGGGAGCGCGAGCCCGAGCGCGGCGAGCGGGAGCGGGAGCGGCGGCGGGACCTCGAGCGGCTGCGAACACAACACCCATACACGTTACTATGATTGCCATATTATAGTTCCAAAATACTGGACTGTCCTGTCGATGACATTGACAGTGGGGCGCCACCGTCAATACCGGATCGCTGGTTCTGATTTTTGCTATGTTGGAAACCATATAGTTGAACGATGGTAGCGCCCCTCTGTCATTGAGTTTGGTGGGACAGTTCAGCGTGGGTCATCTATACCAATAGACACGTCAGTTACCCAAGTCAAACTGTCGGATGTAATAAAACTCGTCGTCAAATGTCTGCAATGAAGATTCACCAACTATTTCAAAATAAAGTCTAAGAAGCTGGCCTTTTCTGAAAACTCAATTTATAAATGAGTAATAGTCACAACATCAACTAGCAGTAATACAGAACTAAAAACATTCAGAATATGCAACATTTTCAGCTTCTTTTTGCAGGTCGTCCAGATTCTGTGGTTTGGTTCAATTTTCTGTTTAAGGTGAGTCAGCTTATTTAGTTTAGGGGCTGATTCTGCTGCATAAGTCAAATCGCAAATACGCAAAAAAAGAAAAAATTGTTTCCAATGTTCATTGTTAGTGTTTTAGAAGCCTTGATGGCCCTTTATGAAATGACGTGTTGCATTGGAGCAGCAGAACCACCAAAACTAACCCCAGATATAAATTAATATCATACAGGCAATGAGTTCATTCACTGGCCTTGTTTATGGTTAATTCTTGTTTCCACAGCTCCAAGGAAATACTAGAATATCTATAAACATACTACATAATAAAATAAATGATACTTTGATTCTAGCAGGTCTTCATTGTACACAAAAACGGGATAATAATGTGTAACTCACTGAGTGCACGCAGTGATTACATTAGATGTGCGACGCGCCGATTGAACATTTTTGTTCAATGTAGTTCTCGACTAGTGAAGTGTGCACGTAGGCATGTCGTTCGCGAAGAGCGAAGTTACCGAAGCGGCCAACAATATCGGTGTACACGCCGCGAAGTGAAAGCTACGTAGCGCAGACAATAAGAAGTGCAGACACTGACGAGTTCGTTCTCGGCGCACAGGCCAATGATAACCTATAACATAGTTATCATTGGTATATGTGAATCCAAAACAGTGGGATGGAATCTTTATATGGTAGCTTGTTAACCATTTAAAATTTTAATAATCAAATGTAGTACATTTGAAAACTTTAGGACTACCAATAAATTTTGAACTGAAGATTCCATACCTGTTTTTAAATAGTTACACCAGTAGTAACGACTTACAATGCATCAAGAAAAAATATACAACCTGCGCCGGCGGCGTCTTGTGCAGTCACGAGCATAGTGTCCTCTATCCCCGCAGTCATAGCAGCGGTCGTCATAGGGCCGCGGAGGCAGACGAGAGCGCGGAGGCGGCCCTCTTCCTCCATAGCCACGGCTTCCATTGGACATTTCAACGCGCGCGCGACGTCCACATATTGTCCTTCCGTCTAGCCCACGAATCTGTCATGAAAACCAAATTTTAATACTACGAAATTATACGGGTAACACTTCTAGACGAACATATGGCTTTATCCAATAATTACTTACAGCATCTTCAGCGTCGCGAGGGTCTTCAAACTCCACAAACGCAAAGCCGGGTGGATTTCTCGCCACCCAAACATTTCTCAAAGGACCGTAGTATGAGAAGGCATCTTCAAGCTCTGGTTTGCTTGCATTATTGCCCAGGTCACCAACATAAACTTTGCAATCCCCGTATCTAGACATATTTACTAGAAGAAAAACGTTTTGATATTAAAAATCACAGCAAACATCGATGTGCGTCACAATTTAACACCACGCATAGGTTACACTAAGTTTATCAGATCAATGATCTTACCCATAGCTTATGATAAATATAACAAGTTAATTGTTAAAACTTCATTTAAACTTAAGAGAATTGGCCATTCATCACTGTATATCAACAAAATTTAGACGAAAACTTGAATCGGCATCAAAGATCTCAGCCCAATCAATCAGAAGACAAAATGGAGGCAAACTACGCGCTACGCGCACCACGGGGTGGAAACGCCATAGAGTTTGACAGCTCCATAGAGAGTGAATTTTTTTGACAGTTCCGAGAGGAAGTGACTTTTTTTATAGTTGTCTTCTGTATGCGACAGTGGTCTTTTGCATGTTAGAAACCTTAGAAACCTTTTCGAATTACAACTTCAGCTTTTATTCATAAATTATTTTATTGAATCTATGTGATTTCTATAAATTAAATGGTTATTTAAAAGTATAATAATTCAAAGTCGTAATTTTCACTTTAATCACTTTAGTTCCGTCTCGAGCACAGAAATGGATTAGAGTAGATACAGCAAGTTGCTCGTCAAAGCGTGCCATTCCGATATGTCCAAATGGACATACATGGTCGAGTGATGTTCACGTTGTTAATTGTAATCCGATTACAACAATCGGTTACGATGATTTTACGAGGACAGTAGTACGAACACGGTAGAAAGAAGAAATTATTAACGGATTGAGAATTGTAATTAACAGCACAAGCAGGCCTGTTCATCTCCGCGAGTTTACATCGAAAACAAAACACGCACGATGGCCCACCTACAGGATACTATTCGACAAGGTCTCACATACGAGCGAACATTGACTCACGCACGCGTATTCTTGTGTATGATGGAAGAAAATAAAGAAACTGGTGTACTAAATAATGTGCAGTATTTAACTGCCTAAATAATATTAAAAACACAGAATGTACTTTTTTAAGTTGCCTCAAGACACTGAGAGGTAAATAAGTAGTTAATATTATTCATGATAATTCATGCTAAATCATGTATTTCCTCCGCCATTTTCCGCAGTTTGTCACCTCACGTCACATCATTTTACCGAAGTCAGCCCTATAGCTTCGGCGCAGTGCCGATCACTGACGTTTGTCAACAAAATGGTGCTTGACTCTTGAGACAGGCTAAATTACACCTTAAATGTTGATGACATTGAGCATACATTTTTTTAAATACCTTCGCGAAGTAAAACTTCTGTACGTAGTACTTATTATTATTCTGTGGCACAAGTAACGAATAATATAATTAGAATAAAGTAGCAGTAGAAGAAGTATAAAGTAGCATTGTTTTTAATACAGAAAATAAAAAATATCGGAAATAGTTATCAGAGAAATAATGATAAAATCACAAAATTTTAACACCAATTCTTCACTAACCAAATGTCACATTATCAATAAGGTTTTGAATTGTTTTATTAATAGCAATATTTTTAATTCCTTTAAAAAACATTAGTTTGATCAAACGCCCACAGAAAATCATTTAAATTAAGTCGTTTAGAAATATTTTCAAAACTAGGTACCTGACTTAGCTTTATGAAACTAAACGTATTGGCAAAACTACGCATTTTTACATTTATTAAAAATAAAAAGCTTGAGTTAGTCCTTATTTTATGAAACTAGGTCAGGTACTAGGATATTTTAAAAAGTATGAAATTAAGTATGAATTACTAGTACTATTTAACATAATGGAATAACGATCACTACTTTGATATACGCACAATAAAAATATGATTTGCAAATTAATAAGAAAATTTATAATATAGAATTTATTTTAATCCACAGTTAGACTAGCTATAAATAACAAAATATCAGTTTTATCAGAATTAATTAATGTCGAATCGAGTCACACGATATATTTCGATGACTTTGCGAATGCAGTACGATGATACGATTATTTTTACATTGCGGCAATCACTAAAATTCGCTAAAATGACACTAATGACGTTTAAAAAGTGGCACGCTCGGCTTCATACAATTTTTGACACATGCTGCATCTATCCATAACTGTGGTCTCGAGTCTACAACTGTGACATTATTAAAAAAAAATAAACGTCAAAAATTTTTCATCGAAAAAACGTGTTTTTCTACGATTTTTAATTGTTTCTAATTGAAATCAATAATTTCTCAGTCATTATTAATAAGAACTACATGTGCATGGATTGCCTGTTGGATTGATGTTTGTTTACGAAAAAAATTCTCTCAAGTAAGTTAATAAGTAAGTTATTTCACTCGAGATAGGTTATTACTTGCAGCAACATCATGTTTTAAGTAATTGAACCACACAAAGGATTAAATCTTCATTACAAAATCATTCATAACTCCATTTAAATCAATGGAAACCAAATATGGATAGTATCATGGAGGTAACAACATACTTTGGATTTTGGACATAAAATANTTGTTTCTAATTGAAATCAATAATTTCTCAGTCATTATTAATAAGAACTACATGTGCATGGATTGCCTGTTGGATTGATGTTTGTTTACGAAAAAAATTCTCTCAAGTAAGTTATTTCACTCGAGATAGGTTATTACTTGCAGCAACATCATGTTTTAAGTATTGAACCACACAAAGGATTAAATCTTCATTACAAAATCATTCATAACTCCATTTAAATCAATGGAAACCAAATATGGATAGTTTCTTGGAGTAACAACATACTTTGGATTTTGGACATAAAATACAATAAAAGTAGGTACATTGCAGGCATAGATTGCAGGATACAGTGAATGATACATGTTTTATACAATGAATCTAAGTACCTATTTGTTTGAGGTTAATATCGAACTTCGAACTTATAAAGTGTTAAGCAGCAATTACAATAAAAGTGCTTGCTGTGGAATCACTGGTGCTGCTCATTATTGTCAACTGTTACTTAAAAAGGTCCAGATGAACCAACATATTCAATGAAGTTTAAAAGAGACCTATTTAAACAATAAAACAAGACCAAAAATGCTTAATTACAAATGATGAACTCATTTCATTTGCAGGTTATGCCATGCATTAAATTAGGAAGATTTGTGTTGGATGAATTACCCAGATAACAATTAAAACAACTTCTATTTATAAGAACATTCGGTAAGTACCTATAAAATTGAAAAGACCCTCAAAATCATTCTTACCCGTATCTTCTGACGCTTTTCATCTAGGATCAAATAGAAAGACCTAAAAGTTAATTATTTGATTACAGATTGGTGGAATCCAGATTCTGTGAATATAATTATATTAAGTAATTGATTGACAAGTACACATTTGACAAGGTAAATTAATTTTCATTTAACAAAGTAGTATGAATCTAGAAACAAAATAGACAGTAGGCATGGTAGATAGATAGATCGATCACTTGTTTATATGCTGTACTCTTTATAATATTAGTGTAGAATGTAGATGTAGAAGATTACAGACTTACGGTGACTTTTTGCTCTAAATATTACATATATTTTACAGGTGGTGAGAAACATGTAGATCTGGCCTGCTTACAGTGGAGTGGACAGAACCAACGTGAGAGTGAACGTGTGAATTTATGGAGAACATTAAACTATTTTACTATAACATATTTTATATGAGTTACATACAAATGTCAATCCGTGAGTACATAATGTAAAAACTAAAACAATGTACTGTTATCACAACAGTAACTGTAATATTTTAAAATCCAGTAGTTTTATTGCTTAGTGATTTTCGTAAACAAAATATTTCATGTTATATTTCATCAATAAAGTTTTATTTTATACTTCAATAGTTTTATTTTTAAACACATTACATGAAACGGAACGGATCATAAAAAAAGTATGAGAGGTATATATTTAATCTGTGGGCGGCAGACGCCATATTGTTTACAGCGCCATCTACTGGACAATCTAGCTCGGTACCAGTTTGTTTATCGTTCAACAAATACTAGGGCCGTTTCCTATCTGTCTTTAGACATACTCTCTAATCTGTGCTCTCTGGTCCTATCTCTGGAAAATCTGTAAGTCATAGACAATATTCATAGATAATAATCTGTAAATTTTATCGATTTTACTTCAAGTATTCAATTATTTCAATTACCAATTACTTTGATAATATTAATTTAAAATAAAATATAAACGAGGTTATATTCAACAAAGTATTTTTTCTTCATTGAATGCAACGACACACTTTGCGAAGAAGTCTTTGCATTCAGCTTTATTATACAGACGAGTGTCACATAGAAAAGGTCTTTCGACCACTTTTCAACTGGTATATGATTTTATTGTGCACTTTGTCTAGACCCACAGTATAATTTAAATTATATTTCCTTAACAAATAAAAAAGGGAAAATTAAAATTTCTTTGATTAAGAAGATCCTATTTTGACGATCACATTACTGATCTCAACATCAATCAGAAGAGGGATTGATATTAATAATTATACAAACGATCTTTGAAAATCTAATAATCGTCTGTTGCAGTCTGGTTGCAGTTCGTCCGTAGTACCTACATGACATTTACAGAATTGCGATTAACGAGAGATTTTGTCGCATCACTAGTAGATCAACTGACATCTAAAAATTCGTCAATGTCAGTTGGCCATATTTGTTTACATTTAGGGAAATTTCTAAAGAACTAAGGTATATAGATGACCCACGCTGAACTGTCCCACCAAACTCAATGACAGGGGGGCGCTACCATCGTTCAACTATATGGTTTCCAACATGGCAAAAATCGAAACCAGCGATCCGGTATTGACGGTGGCGCCCCACTGTCAATGTCATCGATAGGACAGTTCAGTATTTTGGAACTATACCTACGTTTTGATTTATTACGAAAGTCATTATCAAAAAACAATTGCAAATAATCACAATTGGATGTCTTTTGGACTCTCTACTATAGTGGAGGAGGCTCATAGTCCAGCAGTGGACTGTAAAGGGCTGTTGATGATGATGATGATGATGGATGTCTTTTGAACTTTTGTTTAGATGAAAATAAAAACATCTCTTAAATTTTTTAGCTGTTAAGTACTTTTTCAGGTTTCAAACATTTTTACAAAAAATATCTAACAGTTTCGGACCAAGTAATCTGTGTTTCGGACATTGGTTTCGGATCATGAAGCTAAAGATAAAAATGGAGGGCAAACTTAGAACAAAAACTTGAGTCAAATACCTACTTATATCTATCTCGCTCTCTGAGGCCCTACCTCTCTTTTTAGTGTGAACTGTGTAGTATTGCTATCTTCTTATTTAAATCTCCTTGTAAATTCTTCGAAATAGCCAATTCACTAACCAAATCAGAAGTTAAACAAATAAATAATAGTGACCGANTGTGACGCGCACCAAAACTATAGCGGAAGTGAGTAGTCATAGACTAAAGAATACTATGTATGTTGTCAGCCTAAAATATAACAGCAGTTGTAAAATTAGTGCCAAAGATAATATAGCATATAACCATAGAAAGGTCTGCGAATATTGAGTACGGACAGAGCCCCGATTACGGTAACTTTTAACGTCTACAATCCAGAGCCCCGATTACGGTAATTTTTAACGTCAACAATCCAGACACGCTTCTCGATTCTGCGATACGATTGGTCGTTCAACAGCGTACGTCAGCTGTTTTGACCAATCGTATTGCAGAATCAGGAACGCGTCTGGATTGTAGACGTTAAAAGTTACCGTAATCGGGGCTCAGATGCGTTTCTGATTCTGCAATACGATTGGTCAAAACAGCTGACGTATGCTGTTGAACGACCAATCGTATCACAGAATCGAGAAGCGTGTCTGGATTGTTGACGTTAAAAATTACCGTAATCGGGGCTCAGTACTGTGCCGCGGACCGCGGTGCATCAACTTATCGATATTTTCAAATGTTTACAAAAAAATAGTTTGTGGATAAAAGAAAAGGTTGTTACATTTTTGCAACGCCTTAAAAAGTCCATACTAATGCCATGGCAATAAAATTAAAGCAATCCCAAATCGTTTGTTAACTAATACGTTGCGATACGATAAAATTGAACCGAATCGCAAATACAATATTACAAAGCTCGTCACTAAATTTAAAAAAAAAAAAGCCGAATCGAAGCGGACATCAATTGATTCGACACCACCAATCAATTGACGTACTTTTTAAAAACTGTCAAAACAAGATTCCCATAGATTTTGTATGGCAATACAAGCAAGTGACGTCATAATTTGTCAACTTTTACATTTTATAAGCAACCAAAAATCTTAATTTACAGGTAATTTAAAATTAATATTTATTTATTTATTTAGGCACAGCAACAGAATACAAATTAGTTTTTACAAATAATTTAGACAACAAAAAGGTACATCAAATAAATTTGCACTCCAGTTATAGTTATAATATGTTAAAAGTGCATGAGTGTGGGCAAATGAAACAAAACAGTGTAGCGTGATTCTTCTTATTTTCTCAAATACCTAGCTAGTCCATATGAAGTCTTAGTAAAACACCACAACTTTACACTGAGACTCAAAGGATGGGAAGGGGTATCATCTATCATTTTTCGTTACATTATTAACCCAAGTCCCATCCCACTTGGTCCCATTTTGTAACTCGTCTCACTTGAAAATAGCACAAATTTTAATCAAGTCGACCTCGACGAGTATTGCCAACATCAAAAAAGAAAAAGGAAGATTTTGGATGGCAATAATAGCCTGTGACGTCACTATTTTGTGAACTCTAACTTGAAATGTTTATTTATTAGAGAATGAATAAATTTTATAATATTACATTAACTTAAAATGACTAAAAACTAAAATTTAAAAATTACTAATGATAAAACTCTATTTTTTTTAATACAATGCAATACATTAATAAAAATTCATAATTTGCCTCATTATCATTATCTTACAATAATAGTTGCCGCCAACCGGCCATTGTGGAAGGCCTATGTTCAGCAGTGTACGTTCTATGGCTGAAATGATGACGATGATTACAGTTACCAGTTAAATAGGGGTAAAAAACGGAAACGAGGTTTTCATTGACAATTTGTTTATTATTAACACTTATTAAAACATACTACTGTTACACTGTTTTATAAAATGGCGACAGTTCGTCTTTTATCTTCAACTTATGCATTCAGATTTGGCTTCTATTGACTTTTGATATCCAACAACCATAATATTGCATAAGCTTAGATATTAAAACCATTGTTGAGATCATAAGATATCAAGTACCTAACTGAATTGTTATTAACTCGAAAACATTCATACCTGAAAATAATAATTACATTATATCAAATTGAATATAAAAATAACTCCGATTCAATAATCTCACTTAAATAAATTGTTCCTGTTCATAAATATGTTCTTAGAACTTACACCATAATTTTAATATTTAGAATACGTATACAGCTATAAAGACATACAAAACCAAACTACAGTAATTTTATACAGCTGGATCAATCCAAATATGTCGAAGGTAGGAGTGTATTATTGTTATATCAAAGCAAACAGATCTCAAAGTTAATATCGATTAGGTCCACATAGAAAGTAATAATTTGAAATGGTATACAAATTATAAAATCTTGCAAAAAACAGTAAGAGTGAAAGATATATTAGATTATGCGTAAAACGACTGTAAAGCTTCAAACAGAAAGCCTTTCTAGCGCATCAGAGATCTACAGTTCGCATTCTGTGTCAAACAGTATAATACAGTGTAAACAAGAGCGCTTTGACGTCCAGAATGCGTTCTATTTGAAGAAGACATTGTGTTGTGTCTGACCTTAAATTTTAAATGAAAATAGAAAATACAGAAAGATTTTACGTAATTTTTTTGAAGTATCAAGTCAATTCTTTTTCTTCTTGAATTTCAAGATGACAAAAATGAAAAAGGGTCATGTTTTCTCAGATCAGTTTTTTTTACATAAAGCGATTAAGGCATCCATGATGGTATCATGAATACGCATTATACTTATTTCAGAATCAACACAAAGGTTATTATTAGGTACATAATATCCATTAGGTGACAAACAATATTTTCTGAAAATGCGATTACATATACATACGTTTTTTTTTACTATTTCTATTATTTTCTATTAAAGTCAATCAATGGTACTGAATGAATACGATACTATTAGGGAAATATTTATTTATTGTGGGAACTACTAAGGAATCAATCGATACAATCGATATTGAGCCTGCATTACACTTCCTATCAATCAATTTAATAACTTAGGCTTATTTGATATCAAGGTAGACGTTAATAATACCATCAGTTTAATTTGTTATTCCTACCTAACGTATTACAATTGCAATCTCACAATACTATATTCTTCATTCTTCAATACATACCCTTATAAAACGAAACTCATTAATTGACAAGAACACATTCATTTTAGAATACCTCGTTTTAATGTGAATGTGCCAAAACAAAGAGATGAAAGAGATGGTGTAATCAGTCTTTTGATAAAACTGTTGAAGCATTTTTATTGGTCTCAATTCACACTTATTATAAACCAAGTATAGCAGTTTTAATTCAAAAGACTTTGATTGTTACAAATGTTATAATATTGCACATAAGTACAGTAAAAAGAAAGATAGAGATTAGAGAAAGCATTCAGTAACATCATCTTAATGTAAATATAAATATGTTCTCTTATTTTTCTTGACATCAAAAACATAATAATGATATTAATTAAACTCTTTTTATGTACATACATATACTAAAATATTTTCATGCCTGAAAGTTCGTAACAGACTTACTAGCACACACATTATTATACATAAGCCACTAAACCAATGAAGGTGTTTAGGTTTGCATTCAATATAATAGTTTTGGTCAAACCACAATCCAAGGTTTTATTTAATCTTGTTCTTCCCATCACATCATTTCAAGAATATTGCAAAATCTTAATTTTTTTCCATTTTAATTCATAATTCAAACCTCCAAATACATCCATCTTCATTCTTCATTTCATTCAATTTATCAGTTCCTTACATAAAAATTACTTTCGAATTCTTTTATCCGACAAGGCCACAATCCTTTTCAAAACATTTTTACATAAATGTAATATAATTAATTACGGAAGATCACATTTTAATGGCGTTTATCTTCATTACTTTGAAACTAAAAAACAGATATCCAACTAAACTTTTCATAAAAAACAAGAAATTGAATTTTTAAAGGCAAACTACAACTGGGTTATTTTAAAACAATTATTATTGTGTATGCATTTTATCACATTACTATCACAATTATATGAACAAAATTAAAGACAGTATGAATAACAATACCAACAACATTCAATGCATTTGGTATTCAAAACTTCACAATATCCTACTAGCTAGCTAGTACTTATATCATCGTTAGGTTCTCTAACACTATCCATACACTCAAAACATGTCTTAAAAATACATACTGAAGATTCACATACATTATGCAGGCGTCAATATCTGGTTTCTTAAAATAGGTACCAAATCAATCATCATTGACTCCACTAAAATCTACAACATTGAAATCGTAAGCATTTTGGACGCATTAAAAATGATATTTTCGTTGCCATAATATTGTAATATTTTAGCTGAAACAGATCTTGATGTTCACGTTCTTATAAAACTTTCAAATGATATTTCTGTTTTTTTATTCCTAAAACAATAGTTTAGGAGCAGGTGGTATACTTATTTGTGCGTTTTATGCAATAACTCTTTCATAGTGGTTTAGATTTACGTAAATATTTGGGTACATGAGATTTTAGGACATGTTTACAAATAATATTTCACACATTGTCAATCTATTCACAGAATAGAGGACAAAAACAAGTATTTCCTGAAATATAAATATACATACATGACTTAATTACAAAACTACTGACAATTTTGTCAAATTCTCATGGTTTTTGGCTTATTGGTATAGTTGTGGCAGAAGAGTTAAGGCCATACTACAATTTAATTTATGATTGGTATGTTTTTACTTAATTATAAAAACAACCCACTTTAATTAAGGTATGCCATTTGTACCCAATAATTTGTTGTGAAATAATTATTAAATAAGTCTCTCAATCATATCTTTTTGCCATTTTGTGTTCATGTATTGATTTACCTTAACTCCCGCATAGTTACCTATACTGCTTGCTGTTTCTTCTCAGGTTTCTTCACCAAATGAGCATTTACAGGATACTTCAATGTTGTCTTTAAGTGGTCATTATGCTCTTCTAATGAGTTAACTGCATAATGCAAAACAAGCTCATTCAGGGTTCTGAAAATAGATAATTGACTTTTTATTATAAACAAATTATGGAAAAAAGTAAAAATATATCAAAATATAAGAATAAAAGAAATAATCACTTGTAAACATTGTAAGGCTCAGCAAAACCATATCCTCGTTCAGTCTCAAATATAATGCAATGATAAACCATGTTATTGCAACAAATGGACAGTGCCAGCTGACCAGTAGAATTAGGGCGAATCAAAAAGGTTCCTTGAGGTTTCCCTTCTAGTAAACGTTCAGCCATATCCCGTGTACATTTCTCAACTTTCCAACTTATTGATTCTCGATGGGCATATAACTCTTCTAATTTATGTTGTTTATGTGTGTTGTCGTCTTCTAAAGCTTGCAAATATTCATCAGTTTTTCCTCGCCTTTTTAACCATCTGTAACACACAATAATACATTGTTTGATCAAAAGGTAACACTAATTATTAAAAATCAAGCTTTTGATATAAGATTGCAGTTAGATAATTTCATATAAGAATATTGTTGATTTTCAATTTAATTTATACTTACACTTTGTAACGTTCTTTTGTACTATAGAGAGGCATCACTTCAGATTTGAGTTTAGTTGTTTCTCTTTCTAGTAACAGGCTGTACTCAACGGCTTCCCTCAATAAGCTATTTAATTGCAGTTTTGCCTGTTTCAAGCTGTTTAGTCTTAATGTTAATTGATCATAATTTTCACTAAGACCATTCTTTTCATGAGGTTGAGCTTCAGATATCATTTTTTCTTGTAATTTTAAATGTTCCTCACATTTTTTGATAGCTTCTTTGAAGGCATCGAGGGCTTGTCTTTTGTATTTAACCTCTTCCCTGAGCCTCATATATTTGTAAGATCTTTCTCCAAAATTCCTAGTTTTGAGTACATATTCTTTATGTATCTCTTTATATCTTGTTTCCAAAGTTTCATCATTTTCACCCCCATCATTTTCTTGTAGTCTTGATAAAGGGTACATAAGTTTAATATCCAAACTGTTGTTGCAGTGTCCAAGTGAATACTCTGTGTAGAACCTGACCAAGTCCACCACGGAGGTGAACTCATAGGGCTCACAGAATCCATAACGGCCATCTTGATTGTATATTTTAATCAATTTGTTGGTGCCGCCTTTCCTAACCGTTAGTGTATATCCACTGTCTTTATTAGAAGCATTGCGGACTAGATATGTGCCATCACATGTGTCACGGAGCTTTTCTGTGGCCTCATCCCTAAAATTAAAGTAAAAAAATGTTTATTAATCAAATTGTGTGGTGGTCAATATATTTTTTATAATTAATTTGCACAACATTACATTATTGCATGACTGACTAGACTCATCTCATTTAAATGCCACAGAAATTACACAATTTCTTTCAATTTTGCATGTCATTTAACTCATTTGCCTTTTGTAATTATTTTTATAGATAATAAAGTACCTACCAAGGTGCATTATTGAATTTTAAAAATGCACCATTTAATTAATTAGAATGTTTAGTAATACTTCCTATATTATCAAATAAATAGCATCATTCTAATAGGAAATGAGCCCAGTTTTCCTATTAATAATTATAAACTCAATACGGAATATTCTATGTAAAATATTGTTATCAAAGTTGCTAGTATAATATGTTGTATTGTATAATTATTACATTTATGTTTATACCTACTTGTAAATGTTATCTAATTTTGTGGGTAAAATCATTTCATCATGCTAGAAAAGACCTACGTATCTAGGTAAATTATATAAATGGAGAGAATAGTTATATTTCAGTACGTGAAATCAGTCTAACTTACCGGGTGATGTCGCCCCAATACCATTCTGCGTTCTCCAAGCTCTCGTCAGCTGATTGTTGCGGAGCGCCTATTTCGACCATTATTAATTCATTGTCAATTCACTTTGACACGTCTATTTGTTTTAATTCTACTTTTAATTTATCTTCAGCAAGTGTATGAACAGGGTAAACTAAAATTTTGATCTCCAAGGTTGTACAATCCGAGCGGCTAGTAATACGCTTCCGCCTTTGAGGTTAAAGCATTTCTATGATCCTACTGTGCATTCGAAGACGATAACTTCACAACGCAACGAATTGAAATTATTAAATGTTCAATAAATCACAAATTACACCATAAAATTATCACTGACTATGTTAACCAACACTTTAAAAAGAGGTATCTAGATCACAAAGGAAATGGGCGAGTTTGAAGATAGTTGCTATGGCACTTAGTTCTTCGTACTTTCCGAATAGACATAACCCAAACTTGATATTTCTAAAATATAACATTAAAACAAGAGAAAATACGTTGATTAGTGACACATTTTCACAGTTATTATAAAAAACATAGCTTTTACAGCATTTTACAATGCCAAGCACCATTCCGCCATGGATGAACTAGTGTTGTCCACTGATCCACTCATTAATCGGTAGCAAAGTGTCATCAAGACAAGTGTTGTAAAACCGATTTTTTCTGTGAATACTGCACTGCCCTCTGTTTTTATTATGGTGGCTCCATAGGTCTTTATGAGGTCTTTACCAATCGTAACATAATCGTATTGCTCGAAGAAAACCGACGACTGTGCCAGCAAGGAACTGTGTATCCGAATGTGACCGACGTTTCATAAATCATGTCAAATTGACAGACAGTTGACGTCTGTTGTTTTATTTGTGATGGTGTCCTCAGGAATGTGGAGAAGATAAATCATTAATTTTTAGAACTACATATATAGGCATTACCAATGTGACAATATTGCAGATCGACTGTTAAAATAATATGTGTTAATTCCATGAAATAATATTTACAACTCCTTAGGACATTTAAATCTCCGAAATGTATTTAATGCAGTGATAGAAATTGTCGAATATGTGTACTAAAATTCTAATAGTTTTATTTAGTTTTGTGTTCCTAGTCGTATCTTCTACACATATAAAAGGAACTTTCTCAACAGATGACTTTTTTAAGTTCCTGGTAAAGTTCGGCTTTCAAAAGACTGATATTCACTACCAGAAAGAAACATATGGCTACATTTTCGGAAACATCACCTCAAATCAACAGTTTAAGTATCCTATAACTTTTGCTGTGTTAGATGGGAAGCATTTTATAAATTATTACAAGAATCGAGATCTAGAAAACAAAGAGCTGGCATGCCAGGTGATGTTCCTGCCTTTTNAGGATTTAAATAGTTCAGCCTACCATCCAAAATGTAATGCATATGGGCAAGACTTATTCAGAAGAATACCTTGCCCGAAAGGAGAACTGTGTATTGACGAAGATACTCCATGGAATGTAATTAAGAAAAATCAGTTTACATATGTTATTCAAAATACTGGCCAACCAAGGTAAGTTGTATTATTTAGATTCCCTACCCTCTGACCGTTATAACACTTCTCAGTGCTCCCAGTCCCAGATAGTGCCCATTGTATAATATTGTAAGAGATTGTTTTTTAATTGTACAATCATGATCATGAGTACTTTTTAAAATTACTTTATAAATGAATCCTTCCATATTTGTTGGTCATATTTTGGAAGTATTCAATCTTCAGTTGTCTGTTACAGGTTTTGGTATGTGTCTATGGTGGCATGCTACTTAGATGAGGTTAACTGCACCTGGCACCATTACAGTGGAGCACCCACGAAGGACAGCAAATCTCTCACGAAAGTCCCACAAACTATCCAATATGACTTCTGGCTGGTCAACGGCAGCCCTAACCTGTCCCTGTACAACACATTGCTCTACCAGTTCTCATTTGATCGGCAGAACACATTGGAGCTTTATCTGGTGTTCTGGCTATGCTACGTCATTTTACTGCCAGTACAAATTTACGCTGTCAGGTAACTTAATAACTTAAAAAAGAAATTACAGTTTTGTTCAGACTGTCTAAACTGAACTTTACTTTTACTTTTCAGAACTCAAAAACATCCTGTAACCAAGTTGTTCACATTCAGTCTTGTACTGGAATTTGTAGCCTTATGCTTCAATGTTCTCCACACCGTCAAGTTTGCAGTGGACGGAGTAGGATTCTCCGGTCTAGCAGCAGCTGGGGACATTTTTGATATTATGAGCAGAGTATGTTAACATATCAAAATAATTTATTGGCCTCCATTATAATGTATTGTTTTATTATTTCTTATAGAAAAGTGGCTATTGATTTGAATTTAATCAATTAAATACACAAGGGTCTTTAACAAGTAATCATGTTGTTTTTGAAAGTTTTGAAACAATGTATTATCTTTAAATATGTTTATTGTTTTTCAGACTCTGTTCATGTTACTTCTCCTATTACTGGCTAAAGGCTGGGCTGTGACCAGGCTTGAGCTCACTTACAAGCCTTTGGTTTTTGGCGTATGGCTTGCCTATGGAATAGTGCACATACTTCTCTATGTTTGGAATACTGTAAGTACCTAAATTACTGTTTTGTGTGTTTTAGTGCTGTTTGTTACTTAAACATTTGAGGAAAACTTTAAATAGGCTTAAATATTATATTTTTAGAATACATATTGTTAATCATTTAGTATAGACAAAATGTCCACACACATTTGTATACAGTTAAAGATTTGAAGTCATAATGTGAACATCCCATGTTAATGTTTTATGTCTCCTCATGCTGTAATAAATTGAGTCCACCCTGGCAGATCAATGGTAAATTATTATAATGTGTTAAATGTCCAACATGACTAATGATAATACTGGCACACATTGTGTATCAGGCCCATTTATCAACAAAGGACGCCCTATATACTTATATTCTTCCAATAATATTTAGCTTCAAACAAAACGATAACAATCAAATCGGCACAATTTCGACAACGTTATACACTCGACATCAAATTAATCGCACCTCCCGCGACAAGCACTTTCAAACAATGCATCCCCACTTCCCACCAATATTGGCACCATTTAAAAGCCTAGTTCTTAACTTCATTTCATTAAAGGAAAAGTTTTTACCCCAAAAATGTGTCTTTAGAAGGATCCAGTCACTTCTTCAAAAAATAGGTAGTTACGCTTGAGCCTACTTTTTTGGCTATAAAACTGTTAAATTGGGATTAATCGCTATCCATCTGTTAAAGAGGACACGTAAGATCATTATTTGATTTTATAACCTAAAAAATTGGTCTAATTGGTCCCAGAGGTGAGCCCCAAGTGAGGTCTTTTTTCAAGTCACATTTATGGTTATGTTAATCGCTTATTAGGAAATTAAATGTGTTTTTCTTTTTTAAGTTTATTTATTGGGCTTTCAAATAACACCAATATTGTTGTGGCACCATGATTGTGTCATAAGAAAATCTTTAAAGTTCGCGTCGTGGAAGGTGCGATTTATTTGATGTTGAGTATATTTACGATCTCTCTGTCTAAATCACAGTAAACAGTCAATATTATCTTACACACTATTTATATTTCCAGACGGAAGTGGACATAATCGAAGAAATAGACGAGTACCAAACATGGCCCGGCTGGTTGATCCTGACTCTCCGCGTGGCCATCATGACGTGGTTCGTGGTGGAGTTACGCAACACGATGATATACGAGCACAACATGCCGAAGTTGAACTTCCTCCTGCATTTCGGCGCGTCCAGTCTGGTCTGGTTCGTGTATCTACCAGTGATCGCGCTCATAGCGCTGCAGATCAGCCCGCTTTGGAGGTTCAAGTTTATACTGGGTATGTATATCCTAGCACAATAATTAATTTATAAAAAGGATGACTGCAAAAGCTGGCGCATTTATGTTTTTTATTTGATGTGGAAGTTGATGAGGACTGATGTTTGTTACAATCCGGTGGAGTTAACTTCGCACCTCTATGGATTGAATGAACCTCTATGGATGGTATATCTCGCACTCACCCGCGATTTTCCCCGAGTTTACCCCGTTCGTACAAGAGTAACCGCCGTGGTTGGTGGTAGGGCTTGTTCTAAGTCCGCCTGGCTAGCTACTACCACCCACCATCTTATCTAAGTCTGTCGCCATAACAACAATGTTAACAGCATTGTTGTGTTCCGGCAGTTAGAGGTAAGATAGCCAGTTCCTCCGTGGTTGAGGGTTCCGGGTGAAGCTCGCTTCCACCTTCGAACTGATCCTCACTTACCATCTATTTATTTATTACGGTATACCAACAACATACGGTATACCATCTGGTGAGATACAGGCCAAGAGCTTCCTCGTTGTCGATAAAAAAAAGAGCGTCGATGTGACGTCATAGTCGTCAGGTGCATAGTTAACTCGACCGGGTTGTAGTTACTCTTGAATGCAAAAACTACTGATATAGTTTAATACCCAGGGGAAAACTTATCCCCGTTTATAAAGGGGGACATGCTTGAGATAGTCTGTGTTATACCGAGATTCACGTGAACAAAGCTATTTAGCTAGTCATTAATAATTCGATGGACAGAACCTATAATTGACTTCAAATGTGGGTATTCAAGTTATAAAGAAGCCCGCGTTGCTCTTATGGCAAAAATGTTATGCTGCCATTGGAATATTATCTGTCGTCCTTTAGATTATAGATAGTTGACTGCCGAATGTTTGATAAGCGAATGATGAAGTGTTAAAAGATGATGCGATAAAATATTTTACGAGATTGTTTGTTTTGATTTCCAGGCATAACATATTCTGCCGACTGCCTGGCGTTTTGTGTCATGGCGCACTTGCTATGGCCGACTCGCTCGGAGCAGTATCTGCTGTTAGCGCCATCTGACTATACAGGTATTATTATATTTCCGAATAATTAACGAATGACTCAAATTAAACAGGTTTAATAGCTAGATAATTTTCCTACGTATTAGGTTTATGCAAGGATGACTATTACAACCTTATCCAAGCGTTAATGGCTAGCGTAAGAATAACCACTTCATTTGACTATTTTTTTATAGGACTAGTGCCCTGAAATGTTTAGGAACTTTTAGCGCCACACCCACCCCATTGTGCTTATAATATTTATTACCATTACAGCGGGAATAGAAGAGCTTGACGAATTCAACGAGTCGCCGCACGTGGTTCACAGCGACACCGTCGCTCTGACGTCCGAAAGCGTCAACGCGGACGACGAAGAGGTAATATTCACTCGCGCGCACAAAAACGGCAGCGTCTTCTCATAGCGCCTCCCAGAATCGCCCCCGGACGAGGACTGTCCCAATGACATTGACAGTGGAGATGACATGCGTCAAAACGAAAATACTACAGCTAATGTTGGTGGGTAGCACGGTTTTGGTATACTAATTTGACGTATATGCTTCCCACTGCCAAGGATTACACACAGCGTACTAATAAAGATTACAAGCACCTACGTACCTAGAGAAAAATTATATTATTATAGATTAAGGCGATTAGAGTCCTCAATGACCTTGAGCGTTTGACCTTCACGCTTCGCACAACACCCGCGCACCCCGCACGAAAACTCCGATTTGACACCGATCAAAAATACACGGGCATAGGTAGGTACAGAATAGAAGCTCTTTCTTCATACATTACTGCCTATTATTTTAAACTTGAATTGATGAACCTTGATGTCGATGTCATTCAACCCAGGCGCAAGTGATCGCCCGAAATGTTCTAAACTAGCGCACCGTATAGTAAGGTATTTATATTTAACAAAAATTACAAATCCATGAACATTTTGTATGGGATAATATTTTTTATTTTATTTTATTTAGCTTACAATGTATGTTGTGTGTAAACTATGTTTGTTCGGGTGGAATTTTGCAAGCTGAATTAGTTAGACCCATTTCCTGACGACAACCGATTGAGTTAAAATTTCGGATACACATGCAATTCGGATGACAATGCAATATTATGATGACATGGAGCTGATCTGATGATAGAGCTGGAAAGTCAGTGACCCCATAGGAACTCCGGAATAAAACGACTCCATCGAGTTGAGGCTCGTTTGATTTGTATTTATTTATTTACATTAGGGTTTACATAGTTACGGTAAACTACTTTACAAATCACGAGTACCTACTTCAATTCTATATGTAAACAGGGTCTGATGATGGAGCTGGAATGTGGCCATAAGAATTATTCGAATTATTACGAGCTACATTAGAGAAAAACGATGCTACTACGCCGTAGTAAATTCCGCATCATAAATACTAAAATGCTTAAATTAAAATTAAAAGAAAAACATTCTTTAAAAAACAAGGTTTTGTATGCTCTAAAAAGAATAGAATAAAAAATAAAGATTCTATCATTACTCAATTTATATGACTAAAAGCTCGTCGCGAGATTTACTTGTGTAAACAAAAATACATTCATAACGTAACTTAATTTTAAAGTAAATCTAAAAAAAACACGGATAGGTAAATAATAGGTACATCTACAAGAACTTACCTAAATCTCGTAACAAGCTTTTAGTCAGATAAATTGCGTAAGGACAGAATCTAGGTATATAATAGAAAAAGACACGTTCCAAATTAGTGAAGGAATGTTAGATAGATACTTACATCACTGCATTCATTTTCAAAGCTCTCATGGCCGCATATTTCATCGAACCATTTTTTCGATGCATTTTCATAAACTCAATCAGATGTCGTTATTTATGTCGGTATATATGCGTGAAATAAAGACTTTGAATTACGTATTATTGCATACTTATCATCTTTTATCTGAGCTTTTATCTCAAGAATAAAATTGTCATTTTGACAAAATATTTCCCATACGGAGACTTTCAATAGGCCAATTTTATTCTCCATTTAAAAGTTTCGATGCATTCAAAAATCATAAAATAACTATAAAAATAAGGTTCATAGTAACCAACGAAAAAACAGATCAGGTTCCTAAGTCAACGCGCATATATTTTTTGGGTTCCGAACCTCAAAAGGAAACAACTAATTATTTAACCCTTATAAGATTACTCTGTTATTCGTCCGTCTGTCTGTCAAGACCCTTTTTTTCATATGTATAGATAACAGCACTTAACATAAAAAATATGGTCTCAATGTCGACTTTCAGTAGCAACAACAGGGTCAACAACAACAAAAGCATGAAATAAATTAATTTTCACTAAAAATTAAAACCAACTCCAAAACAAATTACCAAACCGTAGGCTGCCAGTGCTACCACCGACTCCGAAAATATCAATCATGGTATAAATTTGACCTAGTAAATAAATAACGGAATATATTTTCTACTTTTACTTATCTAGTGCAGTTTGTTTTGGAGTCGATTTTTTTACACTAATAGATTCTATTTAGGTAGATAATAGCGTCCAAGCATGCCTTAATTCAATCGTATCGTCTGACTGAACGTACTCTATGAACAACTCTGACATAAAATATATTGTCAAACAAAGGCTGGGTTGCACCATCTTATTTTAAATTTGACAAAAGTCAAATATCTGTCAAACTCCATACAAAAAAACACCGGTTATCGCCAAAGCTACGGTCAAAGTTAGGTCACGTCAGGTGGTGCAACTCAGCCAAAGAAAAAATTCATTTTGATCGCTAATGTCAGTTTGCAGCGAGTAACACAACCTCCCCGTCTGAAGGCCAGCGGCCGACTGCCGCCCGCACCCCGCGAAGGCCCCCTCAACAGCAAAACGTTCGGAATTTATCAAAAGTAAAATTTATGAATGAAAGTAATGTTCGATTGAAAAACGCAACGTGTCATTTAAAGATTAAAGAATTCTTAATCTATTCGTGCAAAAATCTTTAAAATTAACATAGCCGTTTGGGAGGAGTAGGGAATTGAAGTAAAAAATCGATGTCCCGTATTTATTTTTTTAATCCACAACAAAGAGACGAAGGAAAAATTCAAACGTGTCAAATGTAGTCCTTGAACTGTTGTATAACATATATTTTTTTCAACTATTTCTGTCCAGCAGTATAAGAGGAGTAGGCTTTACGAAATGACCATTTCACGCGGATTGAGGAAACTAATCGCCTTAATATGGTCACTCAATTAAGGCGAAGGGGGTAAACCATGGTACTAATATTATTATACCCGTTTTCTTTTATAACTAAACTTCAATTTTAATCAGTGATCACAAAAACAAAATAAGGTTCCTTGTAAATTTTTATTTGGATAACCACTTCGCCTCGTCGTTAGTTGGGGTTTCAGAAATAATTATTTTATAGGTGTACCAAACGATTGTAAACTTTGGGGACCGACTGGTCCGTTTTATCGTTGTTTTTAATAGCACAAATTATAATACCTACTAGCCAATGTAAAGGTATGAGTGAAATACATATCCATTTGTGTTACGTCGCTACTGATTGAATAAGCTACTGTTTTAACTATCCATCGGCCATACACAAACTGGCACTATAATATGTCGCGATACGACCAGATTCATAGGAGTTCTAACTTCTTAATCAATGTCTATAATTTGGACATCTAGTTATACAGCTATAAAATAATAATGAATGTTTATTTTTACCTATTCTGAGAAGCAAATGGTGTAATAGATTTTATACCCGCCTCGCGTACATAAATCAGTAGGTCTAGACAAGTGGCACTATTTGATCGAATCGAAAATTATATCCGTTCACGGAGCGATGTAACTCCATACAAAAAAAAACGGCCTTTCGACCGTATTTCGACATTACAACTGTCACGTTTTGCCACTTGTCTAGGGGGTTAGCATTCAACGGCCGATCTGTAAATCAAATACAAGATTTGCATTTTACGAGAGGTGGGATTAGCCCGTCGAAACAGTAGCTAGACTATTTTGTAATGATTGTCCATACAAGTATTCCAGGTTAAATTGCCTTCTAAGTACATACTGTAAATTGTTGTACCTATTAATGTTAGTAATATACAAACAGTGAATATTTTACTTCGATGTTTTAAAAACGTATGTGGACGATGTCTTCTGAATGTTGAAACATATAGTACTAAGTTTAGAAAAGAGGTAATCACACAAATAATTATATGAATGTATGTTGGTATGTTCCGTTATTTAGGGGACATAATATTCAATCAAACGAGATAAGAACAAAATGTAAAGTATGTGCCAACTTTGGAGTAAATTCATGTACTTATCTATGAGAAAGCTAGATAGTCAATATTTATTAGTGTTAGACGATGTAAAAAAGTTAAAAGAATTTACTATAATGTAAGGGATATTGTGGTGAAGTACTTGATTAATATTGATGCACGCCACTTAGTCGTACTTATTTACATTACAATGCCTGCCACGGATCTTGAGCACTCGGTGGAAGAGTAAAATAACTTAAAATAAGTAGTTCACTACTTAAATAATTTGAGAACTTATTTAATACGTACTCTACCTACGGCACGTGTTTGGGCCTTTAAATGCTACTTAATACTACACCTTAAAATTGAGCGAAGTAAACATACTTTAGGGTTAAATCGACCTCTAAAACGTTGCGCGTTGCTACAAGGTTGCGCAAACACCTTTTCCCTCTGTGCGTAGGATCCGTGGCGGAGATTGTACAATGCATTATTGGTGTTGCCAGCTAAACTATTGTATAGATATAAATAGTGTTCTTATTGATGTTTCTTCATTATGTGGAAGGCGTTTAGAAAAAGTACCAGAGGATGTGTGGCGAGCAAATTATAGTGAAATTTTTAAAGGGTAAGAAACCAGCACAAATACATTTTTCACTGTCAAGTCAAGCTGTGCAACTCATGTACTTTTTGCGATAAGTACCTAGATTAAAATTCTATGAAAGTTATATTATTGGCTTCACTTCATGTTCTTTGACTACAATTTATTTAAATTTCTTCTAGATCTGCTTCAAGCACGCTTTAGTTCTTTTTCCGATACAAAATTTAGTTAAATTATTAAGAAGAAACGATGGAATATTGTATGTAAATGGAAAACGTGTATTACTAAAACACGAGTAGATAACGCTGAAACATTCTTATGAACTAAACACTATTATGTATTACATTTATACAAATACGTAGCGTAAACTTATATCGAATATTACGATAAAATTATGGACTTGTGTACAGTGAATTTTTATTAGTAAGTGGATAAAATATTGAAGTACAATTAGATCTCATGTTTGATGTGATCATCGTTATACGCGGTTTTGATACAAGAATTTGTTATTTAGATACATTGATACTTATTTTTTATCCTGATATCCTTTATTTATACAGTCTTGAAGTATCTATTCATAATTATCTTAACATACGGAGATTATTTTGTAAATTGAGGTGCGCTATTATTAATTTGCAATTCTGACTCCTACGTGAGTTTTGGGCGAAAGTTTTGGCTGTTATTAAACTCAAATTTTATATTTAGACTTGATTCTTTTAACTATATTTATTACTTGCTTCCGAGACTCTAATCTCAGCATATTGTTGTAAAATAAAACGGCAGTGAATACAGATTTAGATATTTATCTTGAGATCGAAACTATTTTTTTATGTTACCTTATACATATAGATATACTTTCAGTCATCTCAGTGAATGCAATGCTATTAACATAATAACATTTGTAAGTACATAAGTACAGCTTTAATGTTTATTTTGAATATTATTTTGTACCTACATGCTTCGCGCTTGTCTTTTTACTGAAAATTATATTTTTGTGTTACTACCAACATTTACCACAAGGTAAAGGTGTGATGATGTAATGTCAATTAAATATTAAATACGATATAAATCACAATGTTGAACTACTAATCATATTTTTGTTATTTTTGCATATGAGCGCGGAGCAGTTTTTCGTAAAATGATAATAAGGTCCAAACGCACTAGGTGTTAAGCTTACTTTTAACAGCAACTCTTGCAACGTCAACGGCAAATCAATCCTGGCAGCCGATTTTATACCTTACTAAAAATTGCATTTTATTATTTCAATCGATTACTTAGTTGCTAATTTTCTTTTTCTAATTCGTGTTGATGTCATGACTTAACTGGGCGAATATTTGTCTACCCGCGTCGGTTAAATGCGCCTTGGTCTTTGCCGCACCATGTTACAACGATGAATGTAAGTGCATTTGGACCTTTAATGAAATTATCAAAAGTACTGTAGGCTAATTCGATGTTGTGCGGTGTTCAATTAGTCGGAACCTTTCTACTAAAATATTTTATGGACATGCTCTTTACATGAAATGGACTTTTGAAACAAGCGGGTTATCGCAATCTCCAGTGCAGTTCACTAAACACAATGTTACTTTCACTTATTAATTATATTTAAATGTAAGCTTTTATGTACCTTCGAAATCATTGTAAATAAATCTTTCGTATTATATTCCTGTATTTAATTTTACCTGACTCCTCTTTTAGAACCCTAAAACTTTTACAATAAAAATCAATCTGCCAACAACAATAATTTATTTACCCACACACATAGGTACATACAATAAAAACAGAATTAGAAGCTAGCACAGCACTTGAAAGTTAAAATAAGAAACAGATTTGATATCTACGTACAGGATGTTTACCTTAATTTATTTTAGCTACGACATAAAATTATTCATTACTATTCCTATGGATGATAATGATTCGAGTTCTAACAGTTATAACGATGTCTTTAAAAGAAATAGACTTTCATCTATAATTCAAAATAATACTGGAAGTACAAGTTAGTAGGTAGATCGGTTGTTTTGAATTGTAATTGACTTAAAACATTTTACTACACGTCCTGGTGGAACTCTTACTTACAAACGGTGCTACAATATTTGCTGCCTGCTCATTGGAGCTCAAATCTATTAAACCAATAATATTATTAAGTCGCTGCCAAGTTTTGACAAGTAGTAATGAGTGTGTAAGCATACAATTGTAACACCGAATACATTGTTTGAAATTAATTGTTCAACTTAGAAATTAATAATCTACTGGCTTACTCCGCAACCGCAAAGTTCTTATATGGGCAATTTTGAGTAATTTTATTTATTATCAGCAAAATAATGTACTTGCTCTCTGAATTAACTACGTCTACGTATTGCCTTGACATCACAATTGGCATAATCGCTCTGAATAAGACAATTAATTGCCCCTGAAATAACCACCAATTGCTCGCCTAAGACTGTCCACATTTTCGGCCGTCTTCTCTTTCATCTCGAGATTCTATGTTAGTGCTAGTGACAAATTCAACCTAAAATGTATAAATCGGACAACTGAGTAGGCCCGTAGACGTCTGGGAACAGTTAGCGCCTTCAAATTCCAGGCGAAAAAAGGCAGCGCTACAGTGGCGCCACTATGGCGCGATTGCTAGCTTGCAGCGCCATTACCATGACAAAGACGTGCGGCTGTTGCGCTTCTAGAAATTTCATGAAACTAGTAGCGCCACTACAGCGCTTCCTCAGACCTCTGATTTGAAGGCGCCCCAAAACTTATTCAGGACTTTCACAGAAGAAAAGTTCTAATATTACATTAATTTTATCTACTATCGACATGAATAAAAATATAGTACGCATTTATGATTTATTTAAATTCTACAATTTGACAACAATAATAGAAAAAATATCCAATATATTATTATAATAATAGGAAAATATACACGATATATTATAAAGAATTAAAATTGAAACATTTCAGATAAAAATAAGTTTGTGACCAGTAAGTTTAAAAGATGATAGTAATGTTATAAATGCTTGATATAGTTAGTCGCGTTCACATACATAATACCTACACAGCATGGTACTTATAATATGGTAACTACGATTCTGGTTTTGTACTTATTTCTATAAAAAATATTTAGACGACAGGAAAACTGACAAAGAGCTATACCTAATAAAGAATAAATAAAATTTTAAGATAAATATTTCTAACCGCTATCACACTAATACGGATAATTATTTTGCTACATTATCATGTCTGTGAGTGAGGTCTTACTCAAATATTAAATAAAGATAATTAAATTATCAATTCTATAAATGACGCAAAATACACAAGAAGAAATACGTACTTAATTATTATAATATTTTGATTATTATAGAAATATATTATAAATAATGGGAACTATAATCTTGTAGATTGTATAAAACTTATAATTTCACAGGTAAATGTCATCGTATTTGAAAAATATCTAACACACAGCTTGTTAGCATCCGCGACTTTGTAAGCGCAATATGCCGGCAGTTTATTGGTTTGCGATCCAAATCGGGTCATGGTCATACAATATTATTCATCCCATCCTACATGCGTATGCGTTTATTGCCATTTTACGGATCTAAGATTCCTAAGAGACTAGGGCTCATTCGAACAGAGCAAGGCGTAAATGTATGCGGATTATTATTGCTAATTAATTTTAGATGATACATGTAGATGTGGATGATATAAATTTAAATTAAGCGGTTTATACGTAAAAAGCCCTATTGCTGTTCAAAGATAATGTTCAATGATGAATCTCTGAACTATCTGACTGACTGACATCCAATCCACAGGCTTGAACCTTTGTACAAGTTTGAATCCAATGAGTCGTTTACTATACGGGCCAAAAATTAGATGTAAATAGAACCTTTTACATATAGACCTACTTAATAATGATTTATGCCGTGACATACTAATGAAATACTAGCTATTCTAAAATGCCATAACACCGAACGAGGACGAGGAAGTACCCTACACCACTGTACACATTTTTACTCTACAGCAAAAATCTTCTATTTTTTAATTGTAATATTTTTCACCATCTACCATTAACTATGAGTAAATAAATCGAAAACTAACACTTAAATGACAAATTGAAACATTGAAAACATTTCTCCAACACAGTTGACATCATTAAGTAGTTAAGTACCTAAAAACGGACTGATAGTTAACGCACGGGTTACACAACAGTTAGGTAACTCTGTGGAAAAGCCCAATCACCAGCAGGCGGATCTTTCATCATATAAATATTTTATGAATTTAGAAATTTCTTCCCCGAAAGGGATGAAAAAATATGAGGATTGAGAGGTTTTTAAGAAATCAGATATTTGCTGGGAAATAACTTTCCAGGAGCTTCGTTCCTTATTAAGTCCCAAATATTCCCATTGGAGAACAGATGAGAAGATAGTTATATGAGGAACCATAATAGTTTAGCTAGGAAATTATAAAGAAAATAGAAAATTGTATACGACAAAGACATCACACGTGTCAAACATACATGTATATAGGCGGCTATAAATTACCTATTTATTTAGACATTCATGAATTTTTAGTGTACCTGTATGACTACAGAAATTTAAAACTGCCTAACGGCAGCTGTCGAGCTATATTTAGATGAAGAGTAGCCGACCTCGCGCGAAGCCAAACAATAGCTAAATGTTTACAGGTTGCAGCTATATCCAATCCAATATACCGGACTGAAAAGTAAATTTCTGGAGCTCCAGAAATTAACTTTGTAGCCAGCACAACCATCATAATATTAACAGGTGCTATTAGTTACAAGATAAGAACCAGATACCTACTTAAGATTTGCACGCAATTTATAACCAAACCTGTAATCATATTTTTATGTAGCTATACTAAAATAGTTAAACAATAAATGTATTATAATTGCATATATCATTAATATAGAATGTCATTTATTTTTCCTGGTACATTATTATATCAGAAATACCAACAACTTTTTATTTGCGAAATGTATATTTGCGTCAGCATAATGCTGACTTAGATAATTAAGTACTGTATATTTAGAACATTCGATATAACGTAATCAGATTTAATTAATAATATTACAATAAATAATTCATCATAATTCTATGTTGGCACTAAGTACAAATTGTAATAAAAAAAGTCAGAACTAATTAATTAACTTTAAAAGGAAAAGTAAAAGAAATATCTCTGAATCAGGAATGTATGAATATTATGATATTCGTAAAATATATTTTCTTACAGTTTACCAAATACTATTTAATTCTTAAACTAGAAAAAAATAATTAATACGTTTGTAGGTATAATATTCAACAGTTTTACTGTGTCATTATAATCAACAAAGATTTGCATACAATAATATATATTTTTTTACATAATCTAATAATCAATTTAGTTATCGCAGTAGCTTATAGTTTTTATAATTTGTGTATGTTTCACAAATAATATGTAAATTATGTATTTCGATATTACTTGACAAATATAACTTTTGTATTTTATAATGTTATTTGATTGTATGAGTGTAGTTGGCAAGTTAATAATTGTGACTTTAATAGAAAGTATGAACCTGTATACATATTAATATAAATAATAATTATTTTAAATATTTTGTAATTTAATACCGCCTCTGAAACATACCTACATATAGATGGTTAAAATTTAACTATGAAAATAAGACGTCTTCTACTTAGATTATATATCCTAAGTTTTAAGTGTAATAAATCTATTGTGTTTGTAGGTAGGTATGTCGAGTTATAATAACCTAACAGTTACAGTAAAGTACAGAATTATTGAAATTATTGCAAAGTTTGACTCTCTGAGCTTATACATTACACATACGAAGTAAAAACACAACGTGTAATTGAATTAACAAGAAAAAACTTTGTATCGTGTTTAGAATCGATCGACTTTATTTAAATAATTTAGGTTTTTTTTTCTTAAAAAAAAAATCAAATAAATGATTATAAAATTTAAAAACAAGTTTTATTTCAATCCACTGTCGTTTTACGTCCACATAAGTGTGTTATTTGTGATTACATCTTATGGTTTTTGGTTATGTTATTGTGTGTTGTACTCATGATTATTTCAATTACACTTTGTATATAAAAATAATTTTAGACTGTGTTGTATCAGTATGTATGACGTATATCATTATATTACTATTAGATACGATACAAAAGGAAACATTTTACATAATTATATTAATAAAATTGCCCAAAGTAAGCGTAGGTACTTATCTACGTATAGCCTGACCAGGAACATAAAAACCCTCGCCATGTTGCGGAAAACTAATGGTACTAATTTCTTTTAATGGCAACAGTAACTGAAAACTTCATTGACATGTCACCTTGCATGTCAGTCTATTGCTGTCAAAGTGTAAACAAACTTTATTTTAAATGTGCGCAATTGGTTTTCTGAATTAAATTGCTAAAATATTTTTATAGTCGTGAAAGAAAAGTGGTTCACAATGTGTTAAAGTATTTGTCGAAGAGAAATACTAAGGGTTCGGACAATATTTTCATTGAATAATGTTTCCGACAAAGGTTGTCAAATTGACTGACATGTTTATCGTATAGTACAGTCCACTATGAAAATTAGCTGTGGTTTGTTTCAACTACCTATTTTAAAATTTTTTGTCACTTTCTAAGTGTTGAATTTTATGGAATTGGG